TTGCTCAACAAGAATACGAAGGATTAGTTGATCAATGCCGGGGTTAACATAAAGTCGGTCGTAGGATTTATTCGATGAAATATTTGTTTATACAGTCTTATAAACTGATCTTCTTAAGCTAATGCGAGGCTGGTATGGGTCTTCGTTGTCGTTGTCGTTGTTGTTGGTCGATGGCTGACGTCACGGCGATTTTGCCCTCCTCAAAGCCTTGATTTTACGAGTGGGACTAAGTTTACATAAAGTCGGCTTTTTGAGTTATTCGATGATAAGATAAAGGATAAAACTTTCGACAATGGTCAATTTTTGAGGGATTCCTCATGTATTCGATACCAAGTAGCGTTAAAGATAATTAAATGCATATTTTGGCCTTTACTATGACTCGTCGTGGACGACCGATGTATCGAATCAGTGTTGCTATCCTTCTAGAAAAGTACTGTTCCAATTTGTAGGATCCGGAGAGATGGAAGACATGGTGAGTCCCGGGCATGAGATCGAACTTACGTCCTCGTGTGTATTGTAGTGCACCTCTGATCACTGCACTATCCTCGTCCCAAAATATTTGATATTCAGCAGAAACAGTTCTCCGCACCGGGCCAATTGTCAACTATTTCAAACAGGTTGCTGTCATATGCAGTGGGATATACCAATAATCAAAAAAGACGAATGACAGAAGTGTGGCGCTTTGATAGGATTTTGAATTAGTCGTAGCCCGCACAAGGATATTGAAGACAAAACCACTTCCAAGGAAGTTTACATGCTAGCATAAACGAAAAGGAACTAACGAGTAGCTAAGATTTAAGCATTTAAGCAGAGCCTTTTATATTGCATGAGAACTAAAGCGCTCAAAACAACAATAGGATTAAATGGAGACTAATAGGGAGATACCGTGGTGACCGTCGAGCATACCTTATACCCCGGCAGTTGTGCAGTATGAATAATTTCCCTGGAAAACCAAAACTAGTTGATCATCTTTCAGTAGACCAGGTAAAAAATAAAAATCTATATACTTTAACATCCACAAACACAAATGATATATCTATTTCGGATTTTTGGGGATCACACTTGCGACACCCATGATGGTGTTCTGCAAGAAGGTTAGCCTAAGAGGCAAACAGAGGATAAGGAATTTATCTGAGGCAATATTCAGACCATCAAAACGGTCAAAAATAGTCATCATTCAACACTATAGAGTTTATGCTAACTTGCATACTTGCTTGTATTCAACAATTATATTCAGTATTCAGACAATCACAAGAATCAAACATGGTTAATAATAGAAATATACCTGCCTTTCGCTTCCTCCGTCTTTATTCTAGACTATAGAGTTTGTGTTATTCAAGAAGAAAATCCTAATGCTTTTATGTAATACTGAGATATTTGCAAAACTCTGGACCACAGGTGTATGCGATGGGGAACGAACACGCGCTGTTGTCCCTACCAGGGAGCAGCGCACTTCACCACCACACCATCCTAATGTTTTTCTTATTTGAATTCAAAATGGGTCGTAAAGCAACGGCAACGATTCGCAATAACAACAATTCATTTTGCCGAAGAATCACTAACGAATGTACAGTTCAGTGCGGTTAAAGAAGTACTGCCAACAAGAAGAGAATCTCGATGATGTGTAGGATTATCGCGGACGATCAGAATTCGATAGTGACCAACTGGAAGAAATCATCGAAGCTGGTCCTCCTACAAGTACATGAGAAGTGATACAAGAGCTCATCGTCAGTTTTTCTACGGTCATTCGGCATTCGAAGCAAATCGTAAAGGTTAAATGGGTCCTCACAAACTAATCGGAAAGTCTTTCGCTTTGAAAAATGCTCCTCATTTGTTTTAAACGACGAAAACGGCCCATTTCTCGATTGCGTTTTGACTCAGGATAAAAAAATGAATCTAAAGCGGCACTGACAGCGTTCAGAGCATGGAATCCACTTGGGTGGTCCTCATAAAGGCTTTCAAAACACCAGATTTGCACCAGGAAAGGATAATGGTTACTGTTTGTTGATAACGTACTAACTAACCATAACTTTCTAAGTCCTGGCGAAAGAGGATACTAGAAGAGGACTTTATGAAATCGGCGAGTTACCGTATTTATTTGGCCTGGTCAATAGGAAACGTCCAATCATGTCGCACAGAATCGGTTGAACACACGTTACAGAACTAATTTAGTCGAAATTGAACCAGTTGAGTACAAACCTCCATATTCACGCTCGACACTCACGGGAGTTCTCGTTAACCGACAACCAGGTTTTCAAACACCTCTTCGAATACATTAAAGTAGAAATCTTCAACAGCTGTGCTGTTAATGAAAAAAAACCTACGGAGAATTCATCTGCTCCAGACCTTCAGAGTTTTACATTACGACAACACACAAATTTGTATGTTGTTGATGAGAATGTGTAGATTCCAATAGCGCTTATGAAAAAAGCTGGTTATCCCCTATTTACAGTGACTTAAAATTTATGGCCTGCCTGACTTTTTCACCAAGCTTAAATGTAATATATCTATGGCGCTTTTCTGTTGGCCACTCATAATTGAAGTCGCTATAGGGACTCCAGCATAGGTGCTACCTCACAGATGATGCTTCTGGTAAGATACCATTTTTAAATTTGAGAACGGAATTCAGAATGCTATTATTGAAATAAAGACAGCAACACTCGGTAACCAAAGAAGAGGAGGAGGTGGTACTGCACTGATCAGTAAAGCCGTCGATCAGGAAGCAAAGGCACTAGTTCGACTCCTTCCTCAAGGCTTTCCTGGGAGCGTGAGACCTGGGAACGCCCTAGCTCGCCTATCTCCAATATTACAAGGAGACTCGACCTTTGACCCGCATCCCACATTCATAAAGAAGACGAAGTCCTCGGACAGCATCCGAAACAACACGTGAAATGTTCGGAGACCATAGTGGACGATGAATGCGAGGAAAATGAATCAAATGCAATTGCAGGGATCTGCACAATAGATGTGATGATGGGTCATGATGAACTAAGAACTGAAGTAGGCCTCTGAATGAACAATGTACTAATGGAAGAAATTAGGCGAACAGCACAGTACTGGTTCGATCCCGTTCCGGGCTCACAAAGCCCCTCATCCCTCCGGGGTGGGAGATTTGTACCGAACTTGTCCGGGGAAAAATCACTCTTTGCAATGCAATCAGATGGGAACGTTCTGGTCTGGTTATCTCAGGACTCCAGTGAGAATCGACGCGGCCGGCATTCTACGACATTCAAGATGAAATGAAAAAACCTCAAGTAGCAACCTAAGCCACATGTAAGAATAGACGTGAAGACTGGTGGTATAGAAAAAATGAAAAATGTCAAAATATACCAGAAGAGGTAAATTGTCGAGTAGGTAGTTATATTTTATGTATGCTTAGGATGTATGTATGCTTAGTGGTAACCACACACTATTAGCCGAAAAAGGACCTGTGGAAAGAGTAAGACAAATAAGTGAACGCTGCGCTCTGAGATCTCGTTTTCTAAGAATTAGAGAGATCCATTTATTTGCGCTTCTAGGTTTCACTAGCTCACCACTTCATCATTCTGTGCGGCGCTGAATAATTTGTTCACATCGAACACAGTCCGATATGTTATTAAAGAGACGCTGTATTGGCTTTAGTAGGTTTCAAAATGGAAATATTGAACTCGTTCTGAGTCTAGAAGATCATACCGGAAGATGAGCACCCGCTACACGTCGCAATTCCCCTTCCAGGAACACTCCTTAAACTCCGATGGAGCGAGCGATGAGCAATGGAGGAAGTGGTGTGTTTCTGGCTGACATATTTTAACATTAATTATTATCGCAGATTTGGATGCTATGTGTACAACTTTTTATTTACTGCGCACTACTTCTTTTTCATGGTAAAGTATTATGCGAAGCACAACCACAATTATGATGAGGTCTTTGCAAAACGCAGACCACAGGCCAAATTCGAACCCGCGATTACTCTTTGCTGGGTATATTCTACCTATTTGTGGAAATTATCTAGGCGAAAGAAAATCTTGCATTCCCTAAGCAAATCCAGCACATTTCCACATCCAGGATGAATTGGGTGGTCCTGGTCAGCAGTATTGCATATCGTTACGAATCAACAACACTTTTATAACGATTTGCAGATCTTTCAAGTGTGAACTTACTGAGAATATACGAGTAAAGCGTCTAGTGTTGAACAAGCCCCTCGAGATGCACACTATATATTAGACTCCATCAAACATCCTCAATGCTGTCTTCCAGGAGCCTACCGATATATAGAGTCAGTGTTCCTACTCTCGTAGTCAAACCTCTTACCAATATGACGAGCCCGGAGGAGCAGATGACCTGGCGCTTATGCTGAGTGAACGAGTGAACCGATAACCATGTGTGCGTTGCCAACACCTCCAACTACTACGCTACGCGTATACTCATGAACTGATGTGGCCCAAGAGAGGCTAGATCGACTAGGTTGATTCCCACATCAACAGCCGTCACAAATTTATCGACGCTTCGATCCGTAGGACAACCACAGTGCGTACGGGGTGGTCTGCAAACTTGCAAGTTTCCGACAAATGCTTTGTGCCGTATCTCAACGGATTTTCTGCAGTGTTCTCGTTCATGGAGGGTGCATACACATTAACGTCGCGTCGGCTCGATCAATTTGCTGATGCGTGTCCGTCGTCTGTTAGATGGACGTGTTTCGTACTTACTAGTTATAGTAGTTGAAATTTTACTATAAACTATGAATAGTGCCATGACTAGTATGGACAGACTCCGTATACTTTCACTTCATTGCCATTTGATGGAAGCCGTTTGCTCCACCCAGAGTTTTTGGGCTCTGCTTGGTAACTGAGATTTCGTTGTCGTTTGGGAATCCACTAGTTGTCCTTGTGTTTTATCGTTAGTAGGCATTTTTTTCTCCATCGTTCTTCGCTCTAATGATAAGAACGTTTTTCGTTGTTTACTAGGGAAAATCTTGGTCTTTCTTTTTTGAACTTAGTGTTTGATAAGGTGTAACTCTGGAAAAGTAGCAACTAAACCACGCTTTTTACTTACTGCCTATTCTTTTTCTATGGCAAGGTATGTTGTTAACTATAAAGTAACTATGAAAGTAATAAGTTAGTGTGGAATACAAATTTATTTGTTTGGATACTTGGATGCACCGTCTTCACTGTTTGTGCGAGCTCCGGCATAATTTTCACTTTCTCGGAGTTTTGCTGGTTTAGTCATTGTGGTTTCCTGGAGTTCCAAGGTCAGCCTAGCCATGGTCTGCTCCAGGTCGTCACCACCACAGGCAGTGGTCGCCCTCGTGGATCAGGGGAGGATTTGCCACCATGCGACCAGTTTGATATCAGGACGGTGGTGGATCCTGGTATTGGTTTACTCTTAGCTGGGCTTCCTGGTGGGAACACCGGACTCCTTCTCAGTTTGGGAGACCCTGCCGGGGGATGAATCGCCCCGCTGTACATCGCAACCCGACACCTAGGAACACCTCTGAGCCATGATGAGGCGGTAGACCGTTGAGAGGAATATAAAGTAGAAGTACGAAAAAATATAAAGTAATATGGAATAACGTACGTAGTTAGTTTTATTAAATGTATGATGTATAGTTCGTGTATTTATAATTTCAGATTGAATGTGAACATGATTTGGGCGCTATTTTTTCTCATTGCGTTCCTTCTCACTATCAGAATCCGAAGGTAAGATAGTGTTAATAAGTGTACTTTTTCCTCAGTACTGGTGCTACCCGGGTACTTTTGACCCGTTTCCTATAGTCCATTGGGATTGTTTTCAGGAAACAGAACGTGATTGCCTTTTTTCATCCATACTGCAATGCCGGAGGTGGTGGAGAACGTGTTTTATGGTGTGCCATCCGATCAATGCAACAAAAGTAGGAACTTTTATCCATTTGTTTCCAAGGCATATTTTTTTTTGTATTATCGCTTTTATGTGGTTAACAAACCCACCGTTGATAGAGTTTGATTGGCTTTGTTTTATGCAGTTAAGGAGATAGTGAAGGTAACTGTAGGTATGCTCTTCCTTTTCACCGATTTCTTTTCTGGTATATTACTGCCTTTGCACCTCGGGGCTCTTTGGAGAAGTAACTTAGCACTTTATTCCTCCTTAGATATGCCATTAAATGTATTTTAGTAGTTCACTGCTTCTTTATTGATGAGTAGACACGAGGTTCTCGATAGAATATTTTTCAAAAAGCTGATGTTTCGGCGATTTCTCTTCTTCGGAGTATTTTATTCTTTGTAAGTCTTCCAGCTGCCTGATGGAAAGCAGTCGTAGTCTGCATGAGAAATATGGAGAAAAAAAGGAAAAAAATTCTTCACCCATGTAAGACTATGTACGGGGCTGGTCTCCCATCAAATGACTGGAAGGCTTACAAAGAATGGAACCACTTTGAAGAAAGCGAAACCACCGAAAGGTAGGCTTTATTAAGTAAATAGTGTAGTAACAACTCCCGGTTTACTCATGAAGAAGGCAGTAGATTGTTGGTAGTTCCAGCTTAAATTTGTTCCAAATTAAAATTTGAAAATAGGATCATGCTGGACCTTCCTATTCTTTAAGTACGGATTTCGATGACAAAGGAATGAAATGAGAATACTTATACCTTATCTGCAACGATCTATAGGGTTTAATTAGTTTTTTTTTAAAGTTAAGTAGATGCTTTTGTGTGTTCTACTTTTTATCATTCAAGTGCAAAAAACGTTCGTTACTTGTTTTTAAAATCCAGTAATTGCTCAAAGAAGCATATAAAAGTTATTGTACTTCTAAAGACTAACAGTCGATTAGCTTTGGCCACTCGGTCACTGTAATCCTGGTGAGCTGATACAGGATTATCAACTCAACATGTAGTTCATGATGGCTAATGGGCCAGTTGATTTCGCTTTACTTTTGCGGCAGTTTTTCAAGCATCCACATTTTAGTAAGTGGTATTGTCAGCACAGAGTTTTTATGATGTAACAACCTGTATAAAAAGTGGACGACATGAAGCGGCTCTGAAGAGGGCAAGGTCCGTTGAAATGTTAGCCACTGTCAAGTAAAAACCCTATTAAGAGCACGTTACTAATTGGTCAACAGCACAGTAACTTTTTTACTGTTTCTTTTTATGTTTTTGTTGTAAAAGAGCTGGTTTATGTCGACGCGTGCCGTCCGGCACGTAGTGGTTTGCCGCTCTGTTGTGTCACCTAAATAGAACAAAGAAGCTCGACATTCTTATCAGAGAGTTGGGTTAAGAGTACACCATATGTCATGGCAGATCCAGTTCATCTGTTCTTTGCACGAAAATCCAGTACGACTAAATATTTTGTAACTTTTGCGTGAGCAGAGTAACTCCGACGTTTGATAGAGGTGAATAAAACTTTACTAGTTTTCGCCCGAGTTACTTGATGGTACATGGGCTTACGGATGATGTGGTTGGGTGATTTCGTACTCCTTACATCAATGCACTTAAGTGTTTGCATTTATCTGTACGAGCTAAACAGTACACAACAATAGTCAATAGTGTGCTTTGTGAAATACGACCACAAGAATGCTAAGATATGAGCAAAATTCGGAGCCTCAGATGTGCTTCGAACCTATGATTACCTTTAGGCATTCTTACATCTTTGATTATTATCCATTATCCCTCAGAATGTCTAGGAAATATCAGCATTAAAAGTGGGGCGTTAGTAGCGTCGTTGACGAAAGGTGATTGAAAATGAACCCGTTTATCGTCTTTCACCGACAAGTGCCAAAATATCCACCATGGGCTGTCATGGCGATAGTACGGCGCCAGAATACGGCAGCGTGTGTTCAGAATATGCTAGAAGACTTTATATATCATCTTATATCCCTCTTTAATACATTCATGACATGCGGTGTTTAGTGATCTTACTGCATAGGACTCCGCCTTATTTTCATTCGTTACGAGCGCAACTTCCGAGAATAGGGGGTAGTTTTTTGATAAGTGGAGGATAAGGATTGTGGATATTACAGGACTGTAGGAGAGCTTTTCCTCGGTCGTTTTGTGTGAGTGATACCTGTGCTATCATTTGCTTTGTTTCTATAGTCCGTTTATAGTCCGTCATGCAAACATGCCGTCAGTATTTGGATTTGTTTCGCAAATTATGCTGTCTATTTCGGTACTTTTTATAACCGCACATTTCATGCAACGACGATGATTTATGGTAATGATTGAAGCGTAAGTCGGTTACCCCTCAAATGACCAGTGGATGAACTCATTCAAGATGTTTCTTGTAGATTTCGAAGTGCAGAAATATAAGTCTTCCTGAACGATGTTAGCCAAAAAATCTGTTTTGGGCAAGTTATTCATTCATTGCAAGAATTTTAGGATAAAGGCCCTTTGCTCAAAAATAAGCCATCGGGAAGAATATGACCCATACATAGCTCATACTCTCCTCTAGGCGCGTCACGTATGATTGTTTAGTGTGGTACACTGTCGGGAATGTAGTAAGGACATCTTAATTATCAATTTAACCATTTCCTTCGTCTAATTGTTTAAGCAGTCACCAATCTAGTGAATTTTTTTCGTTTACGCGTCATCTAGTATGTACGCTGTCACTCCATTTTATTATTACTGTCGCTACTGTAGTATATTACTATATTTGGCGCGTGTGGCGCAGTGGTCGGAAGCGCCCTTCGGCACACATGTGGAATCGATCTCCGCGCCCATGGCGCACCAAGCCTTCCATCCCTCTGGGGTCGGCAAATTGGTACCAGAATTATCTGAGAGGATAGCAACACTGTTGGCGGTACATCGATAGGCAACCGCGAGTTACTGTAAAGGCCAGATATGCATTCAATCGGCTCTGAACGATGCTTAATGAAGTTGAACGCATGGCGCACCCCTCAGCGATTCAACAACGCCAAGAGCTTTATCTTTTTTTTTACTATATTACTGGTATCCTTGTTACCATCAACATCGTAAGTTCTTGCCCAGATTTCAACCCATCATTAGTGCCAAGGAAAGGTGTTGAGTTTTATTGTGTTGTATTTATCTGTGGTAATGTCTTATACTGTGGTGGTGATGGCATTCAGAGTCAAAGAATTGCTGTCTTAGCAGATATATGAGTCAGTAGAATAAAATTTGCCAGGTATTTGTTTTACTTTGTCGTCAAGGCATTGAACCAATAGTAGAATTTTAGGTATCCACACTTACAACTCATTGTTTATTCCGGAGATCGTGATGCAACAATGGAACAGATTCTGTTGAAAGCCAAGCAACGATTTGGAATCAGGATTGCACCGAGAAATGTGGCCTTCGTCTTCTTAAGGTTTGATTCTCCACGTGCATAATGTTACACGCTCATTTTTATCGGAAAACGACCAGTACTCAGTTGTTAGTTGGGGGATAATCTAGTTATTCTTTCGAATTAACGTACTTGTTTCGAACTTTTCAGGTTTTACCTTGTATTTCTTGTGCTGATTTAATATAAACAAGCGCACAGTATTTATTATGTCAGTATAAAAAAGCTGTCGGCGTTGATCAAACCCTGAGGGATGGGCCATACATTCGACTTCATTAAGCATCGTTGGAGGTGATATAATGCATATTTGGCCTTTACAATGACTCACAGTGGCCTACCGATGTATCTACCCAGTGCAGCTATCCTCCCAGGCAAGTCTGGAACCAATTTTCCGACTCCATGGACATGGAAGGCTTGGTGAACCTGGGGCGTGGGATCGACCCCATGTGTATTTCAGAGCGCCTCCGACTACTGCGCTACACGCGCCCATCATTATGTCGATATATGGAAACGAAATTGATGACAGTTGAAGGCGTGGAAATGCTCGTTTTGTACTCGTAATTTTTTTTTCATTTCAGGCTCCGCCGTTTAGTTGAAGCAGACTTATATCCGTGTTTCACGCTTTTAGCTCAAACTATGGCTGGTTTCGTTCTGGGCCTGGAGGCTTTGTTACAGCTCAACCCAGAAGTGTTTATTGACAGTATGGGATACAGTGCCACGCTTCCTCTTTTTAGGTAGATTACTATTTTTATTCTATGTGAAGAGGGAAACTTGTTCTCCACATAGAATACTTTAGGTGGATCGGAGGATGCAGGGTGGCAGCATATATCCACTATCCAACTATTTCAAGTGGTAAGATTCGTTTTCTTATGTTTTTTTTTTAGAAGGTTATATAATAATGTCTATCCGTCCTTAGGCATGTAGAGGTTTAAGGGATTATTCTATTACTCTAACTTTTCCTTAGCTACAAGTTTGATTTAGATATGATTGATTTGGTGTCACGTCGAGAACAAACGTACAACAACGCTGATATCATTGCGCAGAGCAATGTGCTTAGTCACGCAAAGTTATTGTACTATCGTCTATTTGCGTGGGTATATAGCCTATTTGGGCAGTCAGCTGAGGTCGTAATGGTGAATGGAAGGTGTGATGTTTCTGATTGGTTCATTTTCCTATCTATTTCTAGATATATCCATCGCATTAAGTTGGTATACCTCATGAGTACGTTGTCATTTGTTCGTAGAATGATGTTTGAGGCTAAACAGCGACCAAAAATTTGGCTGGTTGAACACATAAATGAAGTGAATTGTTCTGGTTTTCGAACACTGCATATCTTCGAGAGCATCCTGAATTATAATGCTGAGATATTTGCAAAACTGCGGACCACAAGTGCTTGCGATGGGGAACGAACGCGCTATTGTCCTTTCCGGGGAGTAACGCGTTCACCACCACACCATGCGGCTCCTTCGTTTCGCCTGTCTCTCAGCTAGTTCTATCGATCTTTTGCTCCGGAACGGACAATAGCGCCTTCGTTCCTTACCGCAAGCACCTGCGGTTCGGAGTTTTGCAAATATCTCAGCATTATAATAGTTATATTTCGCAAAATACCCTGCCGTTAAAAACAATAGGCAGTAAATAAAATGGTTAACATTCCTGAATTGTTTTGAATTACTAGGACTAAGTAAATGTAACGTTATACATACACCGATATGGTTAAAAACTGGCTGAAAGACAAGGCAAGGTCCTCAGTGGTGCAGTGGGTAACACGTGAGCTCCCGGAAATGGTAGTCGAGGGTCCAAAAATGGCCTGGCGTCCGAGTTTTGTCAATATCTCAACATCATTGTGGCTATACATGGACTATATGTGTACACATACATGCATGCACATATACTTATATTTGTATACCCAAAGGTTAAGGGCGCGCGTGGCGCAGCGCACACGTGGGATGGACCCCCGCGCTCTGGTCCATCAAGCCTTCCATCTCTCCGGGTTCGGCAAACTGGTACTGGACTCGTCTTAGAGGATGGCAGCAAGCCGATACATTAATAGGCCACCGCGAGTCATTGTAAAGACCAGATGTGCATTCAGTCACTTCCAACGATGTTTAGTGAAGCCGGGTTCATGGCGCATCCCTCAGGGATTGATCAACGCCGAGAGCTTTCGAGCATTTGTACCCAAAGGTTCAATAAATATGTGGACTTGACATGACGTTAATTGGCAATAGAATTCCTTATAAATTGGTTTCACGTTGTTTCGAATTTGTTGAACAAATTTTCTGCTGTCTGTCATGTTTCTATCGCTTTCTGCTTTCATAGTTGGACTGCCGGACATATCAAACGAATATGGCGTTGCGATGATGCTAAAGTTGTTTACCCTCCTTGTGATGTGACTGCTTTTCTGGCATTGGATCAAATAGCTGAGACAAGGCAAGTTCTTCAGAATTTCATTATGAGTAAATAATGCAAGTGAGTTCCCTTTGATGCTATGATTCGTCAGAAACGTGAAAACTACGAGAATCGAAGGAATCTTTTCCAAGATAGAAGTGTTGTTGCTCGAAGACTAAAGTCTTCCTAGTCTTCTGTTCTGTGTTTGTGTTTGTACATGTTAAACGTTTAAACATGGTGATAAATCAGTGAAGTATTATGCTAATTACAAGTGTCTAGCGAAATTTATGTAGCAGTGACATGGTGGTCTTCACAGTGCTTGTGCTTCTGTAGCTGTTGTTTTTTCTCTACAATTTTTCCTCGTTTTCTATTTTATCGTCATCCAGGTGATCTTCCTGTTGTAGATTTGCTGAAGACAAAACTATCAGAATATTATCCATTGGACAAATTCGACCAGAAAAAAACCACAAGATGCAGTTAGAAGTGATTCGAATGATGAAGAAAAAATTGGATGAACGTGACGATGGAACTAAGGTGAATTGCATTTTTAACATAAAATATCTGTAAAACACTTTCCACTTTCTCGAAAAATGTGGTCTTTAGCGTTATTATTCGACAGCTTTGAAAGAAGAAAATCATGTTGCTTTGATGACCATATACGCATTAAATTTGTCATTGGTTCCATACCACAGGTGCAACTAGTGCCATAGAAAGTCATCTGAGTTGAAATTTCGTAATATGGCAGGATCACTTTCTGCTGCTGTCGCCTTTTTCCTTACGTGTGCTTGTTACTGCTATGATTATATACTTCAGTGTGACTGAACAAATGGCTAGGAAAGCCCTCAAAATATAGGCGATCAGAGAGCACGTGCTGATCGTCTTCATAAGCGGGTGGATGTGTATATAGAATATTCCGGGGAACAGGGAATTGCTCCGCGTTCCTTGGAATAGTATGATTACAGTTCTATATGAGCGCTTTTGTTTAAAGAAAGCCTATAGTGTAATCCGCGCTTGGTACTTTTATGTACAAGTCTTGGGATTAATTTTTAGCACTTGTTTGAATTTTCCTAGGTAGATATCAATGCTTAGTTTTAGATGAAGTCCTTGGTTAGTTTGTTTGGTGATTTGTTTTGAATAGAGGTTTCATTTCACAACCAGTTGATAGGTTGTCGTTTGAAATTCCCCACCCAATTTTGGAAGGCAGTGAACATTTTGTTGCAGTCAAACATATTGATGTATTGCTAGCCAAACATTTAGATGCATACAGTTTAACACACAACGTCCTATCTGCACCGTGTAAAATGCAGTTGATATGGAAATAATTTTCCTTGGAGCTTTAAACTAAAATCGCTTAGTTTAAATCTAACTAAACTGAGAGACAGGAGAAGTGAAGGACTCAAGTGGTGTGGTGGTGAACGCATTGGCCCAGGAAAGGGTAGTAACGCGTTCGTTCTCCACCGCAGACACCTTCGGTCCGGAGTTTTGTAAATATCTCAGCGTCATTAAGATGGCTTAGCTCGAATTACTACAAGATACAAGTAGTTTTGTTTTATAAAGGTACAGTTCTAACTTTCTGAATCTCAAAAAATATATTTCTTTCATTCTTTTTGTATTACTTCTATCACGAACACGAAAGTAAATGAAGAATCGGAATTTCATGCACTGTTCTTCGTTGTATTGTTTATGTTTGCGTCTGCCGCCGTTGCCTCGAGAATTTCAAAGCTTAAATCTACCTATCATTTCTTGAGAATGCTATCGCTGAACATATTCATGCAAATGATGTTATCGTACAAAATAATAGAAAGTAGAAAACTAGTTGAGCAAAATGCAGAGCAAGGGTCTCCGTGGTGCAGTGTGTAAAGCGCGAGCCCCTGGAAAGGGAAGTCGTGGTTCGATCTGGCCCGGGGTCCAAGTTTTGCGAATATATCAGCATCGTTGTGGTAGTAATTCATATTATACCCTGCCGTGAAAAATTATGGTGGGCAGAAAACAAAAGGCTAACTTTTAACAAAATAAATTCTGTAATAAATCTGTGAAGTTCTGATGTTATGAAATATTCTAACTGTCGTGAAGTTGTCGTTAGTTTCTGCGTTACCAACTTGGAGCGTATTGTGTTGCGAAGAGTATGACCTAAATGATGATATGACGTCATTCTGACTTATGTAATGGTATTACTGATTTGCTAAAATGCTTAACTGACTCATTTCCACTGTTGTTCGGGTCTTTGCCCAAATAGCTTTGTTTTCTTGCAACCGTTACCTCCGGAATTGGTCGAATTTTCCTGTGGGATTGTCTTGAGATCTGTCGTCATCTCTATTCTTTGGCACGTTGTTCATACGTAATTTTCTTTTTTGGAATCTCGAGTTAGTAGTGCTTCTCAGGTCCTCGCCATGAGCACTCATCTGCCCTTTAAATTAGAGAGCTGTTTGCTGCTTTGCAACCTGTAGTAAGTACTTCATGGCATGGGCTCCTACCTGTAACAGCGGCGAGTTTTGCGATTAGTCGACGGGTTGAATCGCTGAAGGGCGACAATCCGAATAACGATTAAGAAGGATGTGGCTATTTTCAGTTTACAAGTTTTTCAAGAACAGGTAGATTATCATGGCATTGGTTTCGAAAATTTCGACAATGTGGACTTTTTGTCATATGCATATCTATGCACGCAGATATGTTCATCTTTGTATGTACATATGTATATATGTATATATATACGCACACACTTAAACATGTACATACATGTCTATCGACTCTACTGACTATCAACTCTACCAGCATTGTACGACATTCAGGAAGGAATGAAAATCCTCAAGCGGTATCCGAAACCACACGTAAAAGTTGGAAAATCTTCGTGGATAATGGATGAGAGGAAACGAATCGAATGTGAGAAGTGCTCCGATCCGCACAATAGACGCGTAGATGGGTCCTATGAAAAAAATATATATGTATAATTGCCTACACCAACAATAACTTCATCACTCATCGATCGACTATTCCATACATCCCCACACATCTGGACTCATGATTATAGAAGTGGCTCCGTGTTTAACCTCTTCTCGGCCACCTGGGTGGCACTACGTTACCCAGTCAGCTTCAGATCCTCAATAAGTGAGCAATCCGCAGTTCACATATTTTGCAAGGTTTAATGTTTTCCTGTTTATAAAGTTCTTTATAGTCCATTTTCTGTGTGACTGGAAATTATCGCCACGGTATATTGATGCTTTTGAACTGTTTGCTAGCAGTCTTCCACTCTATTTTGCGTGAATCAAAACTGAATTTTATTTAATTTTTGCTATGGTTAGCTATACTTACTGAAATTATTTTAGATTGAAATTATTTTAGATTGAGCTGACAATTGCGGGTGGTTGCCGAAACCATGATGACCATGGTCGTGTGAAGCATTTGAAGGTGTGTCTTGATTTATTTAACTGTAGAACCATTGTTGTGGACGTGTACATATATATACTTTCAAAAATTCAGTTTTTTCTACAGGACTTATGTTCCGAGTGGGAATTGACCTCTGATGTGAAGTGGAAGCTCAATATATCGTACGAGGAGCTACTGGATGCACTATCGGTAGTTGTAATTTGTTGTTATTTCCACGCTTTTTATAATATGTTGTGGTATTTATTCAGAGATCGCTTTTGTTGTTTCATTTTGATTTTTCTGCTTAGAGAAAGTCAAATCAAAAAAGCCAAGACCATACGGATCGAATACTTTCACTTTTGTCGGCTTTGTTTGATAATTCGATACGATAACCAGTATGCAATGATTTCAAGGCGTGTGATGAGAGAATAATCACTTTGGGATTTGAACTAACATATCTCAGTTCATTGTGAAGTTTACTGGATTCAAAACCCTTATGATTTCCAGATTAAGTACTGGTGTTTTGGGACCATCTTTTTTCCCGTCCTTTTTCCACATTTTTCTTCGTCTCAGGGTTCGTATTCCGAAAAAGAAAGCCGTTGAGTAAGCAAGATTTCGTCCAAATACTATTTTATTCCCCAAACCTTCATGGGTCTTAATAAATTCATTGGATCCTCCCAACGGTCCGCCTAATCGTCGCTGGGAGATTTTCCTGAGTGTCGGGCCGCGATGTACACCGCTGAGATTCTTCTCCTCGGCGGGGTCTCCCATGCTGAAAATGGGTCTGGCATTTTTATCAGGGAGCCCAGCTAAATCTGAACCAATACCAACATACACCACTGTCCTTTCATCAGACTTGTCACATGGTGGAAAATCTCCTGATCCACAAACGCGGCGAATGCTTGTGGTGGTGACGACCTAGGTCAGACTTTGCCCAGGCTTACCTCGGGATTGCAGAGAGCCACAATGTTAAAACGAGCAAAACTCCGAAAAGTGGAGAACATATTGGGGCCTGTACAACCGATGAGGGCGGCCGTCCAGTTATCCAAGTAAGTAAGTGTATCCTTTCTGTTTATTGATGTCGCGCTTTCACTGAAAGTTTTGGAAATTGAGATTTCCCTTTGTTTTCCTAAGTGAAAGAGAGCTACGCAAAATTATGCACCTATCTTCTCAGAGAAGTAAAGTAAGGCGGTTGTTCTATAAGTTCTCAACTCCTCAGGTACTCTAGTGATCAGAAAAACTACCGTCTTTTGTCGAGAATGTGGCATCGGGCAATGTGTTCAACGAATAGCACAGCTCTTAGTGGACCTTATTAATTGAAATAAAGAACTGTAAGATTCTGCAAAAAATTGCCAACCGTTGCTACTTTAATTGTCATAAGAAATAAAAGAGAATAAAGCCCTCGGTGTTGATCAGTCCCTGAGGGATGCGCCTGCCGTGCATTCGACTTCATTAAGTATCGTTGGAGGTGATTTAATGCATATTTGGGCTTTACAATGGCTCGCGGTGGCCTACCGATTTATCGAGTCAGTGCTGCTATCCTCTCAGACAAGTCTGGTACCAATTTACCGACCATCCGGAGGGATGGAAGGCTTGGCGGGCCATGTGCGCGGGGATCGATCCCATGTGTGTGTAGCAGAAGCGTCTACAACCGCTGCATCACACGCGCCTTGTCATAGCACGATGAAACTTTTCGCAATCAGATTTCCTTGTTTTTTTTTTTCGCCTTTTGCGGCTTGTTTCTCGAACATCAATGCCGTTGAACAGGCAGATTTTCTTCTTCGAATGCGCTCGCATTTGTGAATGCTGCTTTTTTATTACCACTTATGGGTTTTTCCCCGTTTGCGTTTTTTTTTTGGTTTCTGTTAGGAAATGCCATAAAAATGGTCATCGAAGTAAGTTTATGACTTTGAAATGTTAATGCAGGTTCTTTTCTGTTAGGCTATCATGTTCTTAGATTCCCCTTTCATGGGAAAACATCGTCGTTACCAATGTGTCAACACAATGTTTTGGAAATTTGCCATGTTTTGAAAGGTTGATTACGTATGAGCTTAGCCTGTGGTAGAATATTTCTGCAGCAGCTTTCTTTTCGCTATGGTTTTACTATGAACGTTAAATTTTAACGTTAACGTTTTTTAACGTTAAAAATTTTTATTTTAACATCTGGTCTATAGAGGTTATTCTCGGTTTTCTTCTCGGTGATCTTCTTGATTCTTCTAAAAGTACTTAATTGGATACACTGATGGCCGTTTTCACTGGTTGTGCTAGCCCCAGCATAATTTCCACTATTTCGGACTTTTTCTGGGTTAGCCGTTGTTGTTCCCTGGAGTCCTGAAGTCAGCCTAGCCAAACTCTGCCTGATCGTAATCACCACAAGAAGTTGCTGCCCCTGTGGATCAGGAGAAGTTGTGCCACCATACTATTAGTTTGATACAAGGATGGTGGTGGATCTTGGTATTGGTTTGGTTTACTCTTGGTTTAACCAATGGTTTACTCTTACCTGGAATTCCCGACTGGAACGCCGGATTCCTTCTCTGTTTGGGAGACCCTGCCGAAGGGATGAGTCTCCCTCTGTACATTCAACCCGACGCTCAGAACATCTTCCAGCCACAATGAGGCGGTAAACCGTTGGGAGGATGCTTGTATTATTATCTTGAAATACTACTTTTCATTTAGCTATTTTGCTGTACTTTTTCGTCTTCTAGGAGTCATTAATTTTTCTTCATACAATGTGGAACGAGCATTTTGGAATTTCTGTGGTTGAAGGCATGGCCGCAGGTACAATAATGCTTGCCCATGACTCTGGTATGGACATTTTCCAGTTATTTCGTTCGTAATAATATAGTAATGCTGCTTTTGTCTATTTACCCACTTCCTGTTCTCTAGGTGGACCTCAAATGGATATCGTACTACCGATAGATGGCAGAAGCGAGAAGCAACCTATTGGCTTTCTTGCGGCTACTCAAGAAGGTAGGTGATCAAAAGCTTTTTCTAGCATCCAATTTTTAATACATCGAGGCCTACACCTTATTGAGTCTCTCTCTTTTGAAATGTTTGTAAATCAAAAAAGACTATCGTCGTTTAAGAGCAAAAACAAAAATTAGTGGAAAACGGAATGAGCAACTTTTCGTTCATAATTTTTCTTTGATCATTCATAAAATCCAACTCTGATGGATTCAGAATACGTCCGGCTTATATTACACATTGTTGAAATGACACGAGCAGAGCGTGAAGCTGTCAGAGAAGCTGCTCGGAAATCTGTTAGTCGATTTAGTGAATCTGTGTTCGAACGGAATTGGAATGAGTGTATTAAACCGTTGTTGCCTTAGGTAGCGAAATGATTATTAAAGTTGAGTGCAATTATTCGACACTGTGATTCAGTTCATTGCTGATGTGATGAGTCTATGTTATCTCGCAGTTTCTCCTTCAAAGAGCTTTTTGTTTTGAAGAGATGTTCTACAACTATAATTATCTGTGTTTTATTCGGTAGAGTTTCAGATGTATTCTTCCTTCAAGTTGAAATGCTTTCGCTGTCTTTTCATACACTGAGACTCCAGCAGTATAACTCTGCCATTAATTGGGTCTTTAAGAGAATTGTGATAGGAATATTTTTGCTCTTTTCACACTTAGAGTCTGGAAAATAGTTTCGTTTGGCTGGCTCACATTATCGGCCCCTAATTCTTCGGTACTGCTACGAATTGAAATGAACTCATGACAGGTGATGTGCACCTTTTCCTCAAGTGCGGCTCATATATGTCCTCCTTCCTAGCCAGTCCCCGCATAACATTCGGTACTAGAAGCCACGTCGCCACTTTGTGGTACTTTGATAACTTTTTCACCAGCAGCAATCTCTGTGAGTTAACAAATCCGTTCGAAAAGTGCTTTTATGTACATTGTTATGTACGAAAAATAGTTCTTTTGGTCCTTATACACAGTTCTTTAATGTACAAGTTAATGACTGAATGCAAAAATCCAGCAAAAAAGTTTTTTTACGGCAAGTTAACCGACCATTAAAGAAGGTTGGATTGGTATGAATTCAAGCTTGCTTATCGACCTTTTTCATGTTTGAGTGGGAATCCACTCATATCGGACTCTAAACGTTATCCTTGTTAATAGCGTTGTATTTCTTTTTTTTACTGGTGAATTCTTCCAATGTTGTTGTATTATTGCTTATGTGATGAAGGGTTTTATACCCCATGTTTTCGTGTAGCCGTGAATGTGTTGTCTTTGGCGCGTTCGTCGTAGACTATATTCAGTTGGTTCAATTTGATAATCAGTTTATTTTCCTTGTTGTTTTTCATAGATGAAGCTGTATTCGATATTAATCTACCATAAAGGAAATGATGGTACCGTGCGATCATTCAAATCGGCATTCGATCTCTCATCATTCAGCTTTTTTCAAAGAGGATCTGTTCAGGTATATGTTTCTTTTGCCATTCATTGATTTATGAGGTCTTCATTTGTCTTACTATTGATTATCTTTATTCTTTGCATCCCTTTTATTGCAGCACTTTTTTTATTTCTCATCGACCAGTTGCTGGGATCCTACAGCTTTTTCCTTTTCTTTAGGAATTCATGCAGTTTACGGGTAAACTACTTGTGGAGCGATCAGGTCTGGGTGCAAGAAGCACCGTGAAGGAGAATGAGTACTTTTGCCATTGCTATGTGCGTAACGATGGTTTAGCTGCTGTTTCTGTTACTGATGGAGAGTATCAGGTAATTTTTGTGAAAGGCATATCCTTGTTCTTCTTTCTATTTACTGATGAGCATTCATTAGAAGTTACTGTATTCTGGAATGTCCTATAGTTAAATCACATAAATACTTTAAAAAATGGATCTTTTGAATAAACGGTTGGAATTATACTTGATACTTGATACTTGGACGGCCCTCCCCCTCACTGGTTGTGTGGGTCCCAGCATAACCTCCATTTTTCGGAGTTTTGCTGGCTTAGCTATTGTGTTTCCCTGGATTCCCGGGGTCAGTCAGGCCAAAGTCTACCCTAGGTCGTTGCCACTATAGGTAGTCACGGCCCTTGTGGAGCAGAAAGAGATTTGCCACCATGCGACTTTGATAGCAGGACGGTGGTGGATCTTGGTATTGGTTTATTCTTAGCTAGGCTTCCTAACGGAAACGCCGGACTCCTCAGCTTAGGAGACCCTGCGTAGGGGACGAATTCCCCGCTGTACATCGCAGTCGGACACCCAGGAACACCTCCCAACCACGATGAAGCGGTAAACTGTTGGGAGAGGTTGGAATTATGTGCACAGAAATGGTTAATATGCCTCTGATTACAGAATTAATTCAGTGGTAGAATCAAACAATGTTCAAATAACCTTTTCATTTACAGGGCTGTTAGTACTCTCCTAGTTTAGTAGTCTTAACCCGGTGTATATAGTCGTCATGTTTAAATGAACTCTAGGTTGATTATCTCCCATTTCCTTTTAAGTTAGACATGTAAATTTGAGGTAATTTTGTTGAAATATCAAAGAGCAGTGAAACCGTCTTCATTGCTGCAACAAGAATAGCACCTCGTACCGGCCACCTAGTTCTGTTTTCGTACTTGGAATAAATCTTCGCAAATACTGTGTATGTTACAAATAGTGCAAAATTTATAGTATATGTAAGTATAAATTTAGTATAAAAGCACACGTAGCGATAAAGTTGTTCTTTAGGCACGTGTTGCAATGAGCATGATGACGAGAGTATTGGACGATTTCGCCTCCAAAGTACACAGTGCTCAATGGGTATGTTGCTTTTGCATTTTCCATATTAAAACATCCTCTGTTATCACCTTCGTTTCAGTCACAGATTAAGTCTGACAAGGACTGTTTATATACGAATCTCCCAGAATTATTAGCAAAATGGCAAAATCCACGCGAGGCTGATCCTATGACGCGAGTCCAGGTGAATAGATTACATTGGCTTTTTTCGTCCGCATGTTATTTACCAATCTACAAAACTTTTACTTGTTCCCTTTTCTGTTTTAGTAGAAGCTGAGAAGAAACCGATAATCCCTGTACCAACTCCTTAGCATGTTAAATTTAGATTCGAGAGGAAATCGTTTCTTTTCAGGAAGAGGTAGAAGAGACCAAAATCGTTATGCATAATACGATTCAATCAGTACTTGAGCGAGGTAAGAAAATCCAATAGTCTCACTTTCGCCCTCTAGAAGTCTTATCTTTGACAATCTAGTTTGCAAAAATCTCTAAGATTGATTTTCGTACAATTGAAATTCTCCATGTTCGCTTAATACGTGGGAATCCGTTCATTGCTCTCAGTTCGTTGTCACAAGGATTCCGCTATATTTATGTGATCGTCTATAACATTTATTTGGAGAATAAGTGCAAAATCGTGGTGGACAAAGTTCTATGGTTACGTTTCCTTGGTATTTGTAACGAATGATTAGCGGCGAAGTGGAACGGTTAAGATCGTGTAGAATATTAGCCACGCAGGTCTTTTAGTTGTTGTTTTGAGCGGAACTTCCATTCTTCGGGAAAACATTGCTGTGCAAACTGCAGGAAACACTGGCGGAACAACTCCAGCCATTTGTTCTGCAATTCTGCCGAGTACATGTCCATCGGCTCACCATCACTCTTATGAGCGTTCTGTACGTGAAGTTTCAGTTTCGAATGAAAGGCGGCCGTCGTCTCACAATGAGGACACTGCCACTGTCGCTGAGGACAATGCGACTTGGCGTTTCCGTGGCGGCATGACCGCGTTGCTTCCTCGTTGTAGTAGGGAAAATGTTAGCGTATTGGCGTGTCCAATCGATAGAAGGATAGCAGTGAGCGAGATAGCGCTGTGCCTTGGGTACGGTGGTGGAGTTCTGGTTGTCGCGAGGAATCCCGCTTGGGAGGTCCGGATGAGAAGTGCGGATATGCGAGCGGACTCAGGTGAAACCCGCATGGTCGAACTCACAGCCATTCTTCGGGCACTTCCACAACGGCACTGGTGTGTGGATCTTCAGGGCGTGCGCAGTGAGGTTGGCGTTTTTTTACAATTGACTGTAATGCCTCACAAATGACATTTGATCTGGCCTGAACCAGGAATTTCCGGAGGAGGCGAGTTTGCTGCCGGTGGCGGTCCATTAATGATTCGGACATCTTTCGCCGGTTCTTCTTTAGCAAATAGAGTTGAGAGCATTGTGTTGAAATGGTCTATAGATGGTGAAGACGACGATGAGCCCGACGACGCACAACGGAACGAAGTCGTCTGGTTCTCCTCAGGTGGGACAGTACTGATGGGTGGGACAGTACTGATGGTTGTGCTGGTTATGTTACGGTCACCATTTACCGGAGGAAATTGAGCAATGTGGGCTTGTGAGGTAGAAGGAGAGGTGAGCGAAGTGAGCGGTGTGGGTGAGGTTGTTAAGAGGCCATAACAAGAGGTCCTGAGAGGGCAGTGGGTGGAGTCGCGTAACTCGGTGAATAAAACTCATACGGGAGCTTACGAACGACAGGTCACAGATACCTTGAGATAACACAAACTAGAATAAAGCGACGCAGTCCGTGTCGGGCTGTAGTTTTAGGATGGCATAGCGAGGAACGGCAGTTCCGTTTAAAACAACAGCTAAAAGACCCGCGTGGTTAATATTCTACACGATCTGAACCGCTTCACTTCGCTGCTAACTATTCGTTACAGAGTTAGAGTGTAGAAGTATGTCTTCACTTATCTTCAGTTGGAAATTGGAAAAAAAATAGCATAAGTACAATTTATGGCAATAATTTAGACTCATTCACAATTTGGCGCCATACATTTAGACCAAAAAAAAAACGCTATACAGGTATATTGAGCTGCATAAGGGTTGGTTTATTCTGACTAGTCCTGTCATCTCCTTTCAGTGAGGTGTTGAATGTCGTTTGAATGTGATTACTTGGGCACATGGATACTTGGACGACCCGTCCTTATCGATTGTGAGAGCTCCTGCATAACCTCCATTTCTCAGAGTTTTGCTGGTTTAGCTATTGTGTTTCCCTGGACTTCTGAGGTCAGCCTAGCCAAAGTACGCATCAGGTTGTCACCACCACAAGCAGTTGCCGTCCTTGTGGATCAGAGCAAAATTTACCACCATGCGACTAGTTTGATAGCAGGACGATGGCGGATTGTGGTGTTATTCTTAGCAAGGCTTCCTGATCGAAAAGCCGGATTCCTCAGCTTGGGGGCCCTACCAGTGGGATGAACTTCCCGCTGAACATCGCAGCCCGGCACCCAGGAACACCTCCCAGTCACTAAAGAAAGTAAACCGTTTAATGTTATTATCCCTAGAATCCAAGTATAACCGTACTAGAGGGTTCGTGGAGTCACGTACGGTTCACCACATGCAGTCAATGGGAGTAACTTTTGGATCAGATCGACGGTTTTTGTTCTGCGACTAAGACTGTTCTAAGACGGTAGCGATTCCTACGATGGCAACAGTTCTTGCGAACCGTTGTGAACCACATATAGGTCGTCTCCCTTTTTTTTTTACACCTTGTTACTTGTGTTACATCACTTTTGAATACACCTCTGTAGATCTCGAATCTATTATACAAGCCGGTGTGCCAGATGGATTAGCAAATATGCAGTAAGAATTTGTTTATTTCAAAGGAGTTGGGATTTGCTCATTTTGCTGTGCTTATTCTGTTTCAGGAGAAAAGCTGGACGATCTTGTGAAGAAAAGTGAGAACCTTTCTGACCAATCAAAGCTTTTCTACACACAAGCGCGGAAGATGAACAAATGTTGCAACTATTACTGATTGTGGAGAATCGACTTGACGATTTCTCTATTGTTCCATAAGTGGAACAGGTATATATAGCTACTGTTCCCTGTGTCTGTCCTGTGATGTTTTTTTTTCACCAATCCTGTTAATTTCCCTCTCTCACTCTTGATTTATTTTAGTCTTCTCAGAAGATACTTATTACCTGCTAACCTAGTTCGTTTTGGATCAAAGCCAATGTAAGATATCCTCTACCTGAGACACATTCACGGGTTGGTAGGTAATTCGATACCCCTTGTTTCCTTTGCCTTTCTTTCTGTTTTCATTCTTTCGAAATGAATTTGTCATGTGCTTCCTAATTTATATGTTTCTTTTTGCACAAAGATGATGTGCACTGAAATATCGACTTGCTAGAATTTGTACCGTACGTTTTCAATGTCCCTAACTGTCCCTAAATTTTGTATACCAAAACACTTCAGCTCTATTAAACTGTTTTTGTATTTACTCCATGTGGATGCACCATTATGGTATGGTGTTTTCGAGCAGTTGCTTAAGGACATTTCACCTTTTAGGAACGTCGACCACCATCTTAGAATGCTGAGTACTTTAAGGGTGAATATGGTGGTGTACACAACGAAATGCAATGCAGCTGCAGCAGAATGTCTTGTAAATTTCTTCTATCTCTATTGCTTTCATGTCTGGTTTTCTAATATGGTATGTTTTTATAATGTAATTTCTGCGAAATAACATAGTGTCGTGTCAAAACGAGTGTGTTACATAGCTATTACAGGTTCCCTCAGTGTATATTCCAGGGAGGCTGTCCAAAGATTTTATTTTCAGCTCAACCATGGGTGAACTTTGGATACTCGGTATACCCTTTGATGCTGGGACTGAACCCAGGGTAGCAAGAGCTTCCCTCGGTCAGATAGTCAAGTTATACACGACTTTTAAAACATCCAAAGGATGCAATCCCTAAAGAATGTCTTCCTGTTACTTCATAATGAAAACATTGATTAACTAACTAAGTTAAAGGGAGGAGGGAAAAATTTTTGATCTTCTTCAAACTTGTTGGTAATTTACCAGATTCGTCTTGTATTAGTATCAGCATGATTTTACTCCTCCATATGGTTCATCACTTAATAGTGAGTGGTTGCTATCCTTTCGTATCGAAATACGAGGTAAAGTGAGTATCATCTTGAAGCAAGGTACCTGAGCTTAGAAGTACCTTGACATCTCTACTTGGAAACCTGGATAGGAGTAACTGCCTAACTGAGCGAGCGGTCTGTGACTAGGTTATTGTCCAAACCAGTAAAAAAGCCAAAGAAAGTGGTATGAAAAATTGGATACTCGTGCTATTCTTAGGATAAAAAGAGCCCAATGAGCAGCTCTACGACATAGAGGGAACGAATAAGTTCGTTCTCGCTCATATTACTCGACGAGTAACCAGTAACAACTGCATCATTTCTAGGAATGGCAACAGTGGCCCACGAGTCATACTATACCCAAGGAGTTCAAAGTGAAGTAAATATCATGATTCCTTGCACATATCATGTTTAAGAATCCCAAGCGTTTGCTGAAAAGTGAATTTAAGTCCGAAATATTAACGAACTTTTCATCATAGATGACATCGTGTGAGATAACTGGAATTGTGTCAGTGAGAAGACTAATTCCAAAACGAATCCCATTGTTGAGAAATTCATGACAATCTACCAATCATGTCCCGTTTACGTCCAGGGAAATCGAAATCTTCCTTCTGAATCCTGTCTTTTGGTCCAGGAGATACAACTGCGTGACGAAACTAATCCAAAGTTAAGTGTACAGAGGATCCAGGATTATCGAAGTAACGGTTAAGAATGTAATTGTGGAGTTGATGACCATTTTATTGAGTGTTGAGTTATTGTGTTAGCATGCAAAGGCTTATCACTCAGTGAACAATTGTTGCTTAAAGCAGTAAACAACGAAATTATAGAAAGACTTAGACCTATCAAACAAGCGAAGCATAACATATAACCCCCATCATGCATTGAAATCAATGCACTCATTATCAAAATGATTGGTTAAAGCTTGAACAAACATACCCTCATGGCGTAATTTAATAGTTGAAGTAGAAACTCTCAGTATTTCTATATTCTTGTCAAAAGATGCAAATTTGCTCATTCCGTCAAGATGAAATTCCTGAAGTGTATAAAACCTTCCTTCACGATCCATGCATCAAGGCAGGAATTTAGCACTGAAAAGCAACTGGACAAGCGGGATTTCGTCCAGCACAACTCGTTTTAAGACTTAAACAATGTTTTATGGAACCTCCTCCCGACTGTTTACCGCCTCATCGTGGTTGTGAGGTGTTCCTAGGTGTCGGCGTTGCGATGTACAGCGGGGAGATTCATTCCACCAGCAGCCTTCCAAGCTGTGGAGTCGTTTCCACCAGGAAGCACAGCTGAGAGCAAACTAATATCCACCATCACCGGGTCACCGTCCACCGCCGTCCTGGTATTAAACCGGTCGCATGGTGGCAAATCTCCCTGTGATCCACACGAGCGGCGGCTGCCTGTGGAAGTGACGACTTGGGGCAGAGATTGGACAGCCCAAACTCGGGACTCTAGACAACCACAACGACTAAAGCAGCAAAACTCCGAAACAATGGAAATTATGCTGTGGACAGTGCAACCAGTGAAGACGGGCCATCCAAGTATCCATGCAAGTGAGTAAGTTTACTTTGTATTTCATACTTATTCCTTTAACAGCTACTTCGCGGTTACTTTACATTTCACATTGTACACTGCCATGAGAAAATAACAAAAGTATTTTATGTAAATAAGTAAAAGTGACTGCTATGTGAAAAAAAGGAGAAAAGGAAAAAAGAAGAAGGAAAAAGAAAGGAAGGAGAAATGAAAATTTTGCTAGGGGTCGCAGAACTAGTGAAGGTGGGCCATCTAAGTATCCAAGTGAGTTTATGAAAACTTTATGTACACTGTAAAGTGTTTAACTTCTCACATACTCTGGTGGTAAGGAACTGGAACGACTGAATACATAAAAAACAATTTACTGACTAAAAATTGATCTCAGTGGTAAGTGCTACCTTTTAGTATAAGAATAAGTCACACCCAATACACTACAGCTTGGAAATGACGATGTCTGCATTTATGCGTTAAATTGAAATTTGACGTGAAACTACAGAAATTGCGGTATCCGCGTAGAGTGAAAGGAAAATTGATCCATAACGCTTCCGGTGTCATTTGTTGACTATCTTTAGCTTTTAGGTAGTACGTTAGTCAGAGAATCATTATGAAACGTGGTTGACAGGGATAAATTATATCGTAGAGATTGTTTCACGATCTCTTCCACTTCATGCGTTCAGTACAGTACTGGTGAATTCCTGAAGTATGAGCTAGAAATGTTGTACCAAAGTAAGAACCAATACAGCCACAAAGTAGATTTTCCTCAGAGACTTCTTTCTTTTATGCCAAGGAATGCCAAGTCACTGGTCTGGATGGAATCCCCACTGACGATTAAACGATGTTGGTCTCTAATTTCTTTCTCTTAGAACTTTAGTGTTCCTTTAATGTTCATAATCTGTACATATATGTTCCTATGAACTGCCTCTGTTGAGTTGATGTGCGGGTAGAGCACGTTTTCATTGTCGTTGTCATCGTTGTTGTTGGGTGGTGGTCCCACTCGCAACAACAAGGCTCTGAGGAAAGCGAAATCGCCGAAACGTCAGCTGTCGAACAACAACAATAACAGCAACAAGAGCAGCAACGACAACAGAAACAAAAACCACAGCAGCAATAACAACGACAACAGCAATAGCAACAACAGCAACAACAACACCTCGCATCAGCTCAACAAAGGCAGTTAATGAGAACATATATGTAGTTCTGCCGATTATGCCGATTATTTATGCCGATCTTTATAGAAAGTCGGTCTTTTGAGTGTTCAGAATGTTATGATTGTCTCTTGATTCGCCTAGTGAAGATTTCCATTGTGGCAACATTGCAGGCATTACGCGATTCGCCGACGACACACTCGCACGACAGCACGTCGGGTGACGATGCTGATCTTTGGGTGTCTGATACTGCTGTTGACGACTTTTTCCGTTGTGTGGACACGAGCTGGAGCAGAAGAACAGGCCACAAACAACGGACAACAAACGAAAGCGAAGTTGGAGCCAACTGAAGCGAATGCTGAGACTCTGGTATACGTTCAAGTGGTTCGTATTTCTCCCAGAGAGTCTAGTTTCTAGTTTCTTTGTTTGAATTCCTCTTTATCCCCTATAGGCTACTTATAATTTTTCACTAGTAAGCTAACACGAGGTAGATAAACAAGTTTATTTGACTATCGTTTCGATGTCTTCGTTTTTCGCAAAGCCGATGTCCTGAGTCGATGGCGGCACGGATCATCGGCTCAGGGGAAGACGAAGGCGCCAGAATGTTAGCCGAGTTAGGTTTTTTATCAATCCTGTGTTAGCTTATCAATGGAAGAATAAGTGTTGATTGTTCATACCAAGGTTGAAGGAAAGTCGGCTTTTGAAATATTGTTACGCACCGTGCAGGATCACATACTTCGTGTAAAACCACATTACTCTTAACGTCATGGTAACTCCATCAGCTCTCCCGAATATGTGGGGCGTGTTTTTTTGCAGCGGACTCCGGACCGCGGTTCATGTCCTTTCCACACACTTCATACACTACTGTTTTTTTGGCCGAAACGTCATGACAGTATGATTATCGGTTTTTACTACGTCCGCGCTAGCTAGCGTACATCAACGTCTGCATGCGTGCGCGAGGTAATGGGCAGTCTGTTGCAGCAGAAATAGGATATTCTTGCTCTGAATGCGCTTGTTTATCAAACCAGATATGTATGATAGTCGATGCATACACCCCTCTCCACCACCTTGTTGGTACACTTCGCGTAGGTTAGCATCTAATCAGCTTGAGCCCCTCGATGTGAGGGAGGTATGTGACTTTTACGAATGTCATTTATTATTAAGTTACTAACGCAGTTAAGGTTTCATTGTCGTTTTATTTACGTCCGTTCATTTTTTTAGTATTTCTTTTAATTATCGTGAGATCTGGGATGGGATATAATAGGATTATAAATCGGATGAGGATCCAGTTCATGAAAAACCTAGGGTGCGAAAGCGAACAGATAGAAGCGGATGGTTGTCTGAACAACGTAAAGGAGGAATTAGACAGAAGAAGAATAGCGGCATAGGCCGCAGTGGGGTCTTTCAAGGAAACCACCAACCAAATCTGCGCTCACCTTTTCGTTCCAATAGTCTTGCAAGCTATCTGTCACGCAACAGAGGCTCGGGTTGATAGGTCAACCACGACAAGAACTCTGCGCACCACTTACAGAGCAGAAGGACGATGTCTTCTGAAAGTTAACCGGCACTTACAACGTCTAGCGGGAATGCGCGGCTCAGATCTTCGAAACCTATCCTATCTTCCGAATTTGGAAGAATATACATCGATAGAGAAATTTTAATATGCTGGTCACGTAATAAGGAGAACGTATGACAGGTCGATGAAAAGAGCAGTGGAGTGGACTCCAAGCAAATACTAGTGTCCTCTTGGAAGACCACCCTAAACGATGGACGAACGTGTTCGTGGCTAACGGGCAGCCACTTGCATTTGCGGATGGAGACGATTTTAGGAATTTGGGATGGGTTTCGCAGAAGGGCATTATGTTCGAAGCAAATCACTGCCATGGGCGACGCTAGTGTGAAAGAGAAGCCAATGAAAGTTCTACTGGAGTCTGCACTAGCTGTGAAGACGAAAGTATCATTGGATGTGAATTCAAGAAAGAACAGTTCACTGAGGTAAGAGTCCGAGCACCTTTCCCTTTGACTTTCTCCATTACATGATCTCATTGGAGTTGCCAGATTGAAACTTCTTTAAAGGGCAAAATGGCCTGCCGTATTTGTAGTAGTTCGACAAAAAAGTAGTTGAACGACAAAAAAGGAGGCAAAATGCAAATAGGTGGTAGTGTTTTAAATGATAGGGTTTGACAGAATAACGTAGACGAATGAACACTACAGTGAACTTTAAGGCATGGCGGCATGGAGATCGAACTCCGGCGTCATCGGTGCCATTCTATGATGCCAGTGCATGGGAGGAAGGATTGGGAGAATTAACAATGAAAGGAATAGGTAAGACTATCCAGATTTCTACATAATTTTCTAATGAGATGATAAGATGTTATTCTGTTCATGTGCCGCCTGGAAAAAAAACAAGTGAATGTGTTTTGTCGAAGTTTGAAATATTTGCCACAGTTTGCATTGATGTCGGAATTTTCGTCATATCTTTTTTATTTCGTTGATAGCTCTCTCACTAACTATAGGTGTTGTGTCAAGCGTCACAGGAGAGGTGTTCTGTACACTTTGTAATTTGCATAAAATAAAAGAAAAATAAAAAACCAGTCGTTTCGTAAGTTTTAATTCCTCTACGAAATTAGCGCTGGTAGGGAATGTGTTATACATAACGCCCGACATGTCATGACAGCGTTCAAATCTAAACCAACATATCTCAGTTCACACTAGGCATACTAGTAGCTAGAGTAAAAACCTTTGAGATCTAGAGGCTTTTGTATAGATGGTAAAAGTTGTTTTCTCCCAGTAAAACTCTGGTTTTTGGGAGTTCATGACATATAGCCATTCACTTTTTTGCACAATAACTTGCAATTCAGCTGAACAAGCGATATTTGGTTCAGCTGTTGCTTGCGCCGTCAGTGTTTAGAGCTGCTGGTCTTGTGTTGAGGTTTTTAAAAATTCGAATTTCGGTTCTAGTTTTCTGAAAACCATAGCGTTAAACATATTTAAAATTGAAGAAGTGCCATAAAAAAGTTAAACATGTTAAGCGACAGAGCAAAGTCTCTTGTATAAATCTCTATGGTTCATAACTCTGCAAATATTCTAGTAATCGAGAAATCATCCTCACTTGTTGGAAAATAAGCGTCGGGCGTTATGGGCTAGTATATCATCGCTGGCGAGAGAGCAACTGTTGGTCCATCCAAAATGTCCGTGCCGAGAATGCTTAAGTTTCGCGGCGATCATTTGTCTACTGTACTGATTGAGTAACGCAGGCTTTTGCTAATGAGAAGGGTATTTCATGTGTTGTTTTTGCTCAACAGACAATGGATTGAGTACAGTGCAATGCGCAAATGGCGAGAAATTATTTGCACTCTTTGTGGCAGGCACAGAAAATTAGGAATGGTAGGGGCAGTGTAAATTTGTTCTATTGAAAGGTATAAACATATCATCTGCTTCACTTTTCCGAATACGTTTTTGTGGTTTTTTAGCGCAGCAGTATCGTCTGGGAAGGTGGTTGCGAGTTCGGTACGGCAATTTTCTCGGCAGTCGATTTCACCGTAGCGAGGTACTTTTCTATAGTTTTCGTAGCAAAGTCATGAGTTTAAACACGCAAAATGCTCACCTCGGCGCATATCCTTTCGTTCCACTACTTAGTTAGGCTTCTCCGGAAAATATCCTACAGGGTGGGTCACGATTCCTTAACAAACCACTTTACGTTATGTACAATCCCATTCAAATGTTCTTGCAAAAGGCAGGGAAATATTCAGGTTTTTTTTTCATTAACAGTGTTCCTCATAGGTAACCTTGACTTCAAAATGTTTTCCTACGATAGTTTGTCGTCTAATCGTGGTTGATATTATGTTCCTGGTGTCGAAAAATGCGATTTACAGGGGATTTTTATAATCCATGAGTCGCATACACCCACAAACCCGATATTTCCATCTGTAAATTGACCTAATAGTAAACTTATGTTTTCTCATAGGTAACCTTGACTTCAAAATGAACAAAACACAGAAATATAGCCACAACGTTGCTGAGTTATTTTCAAAACTCGACCGCAGGTGTCTATGGTGGGGAACGAACGTGGTATTGTCCTTTCCGGGGAGTAACGCGTTCACCACCACACCATACGGGTCCTTCGTTTCGCCTGTCTCTCAGCTAGTTCTATCGATCAGCGCTATCAGCAATCACTCGTCAACGGGATTGATCTGGAGAGCCCAAATCAGTATTGAACCCAACGTTATGGTTGTATTTCGCGTAGTACCATGTCGTGAAAATTATAGTAAGCAGAAAATAAAAGGTAAAGCACAGAAGATTAATAATAGTTAACCTTGCGTTTGCCGAACAAAAGAAAATATGGTACTTTTCGACCTTGTTGAACGAGCGGACCATGCTGACATGCTGAGGACAAATTAATTAATGATTGACCGATCAAGACTTTCGACGGTTGACGGCTTTCAATGCTTTGTCGCTGTAATAAAACAGCTCGAAATCGAGTTTCTCAACCTAATTGGAGAAGCACTTTGTAAGGAATTGTGTCTTATAGAACCGTATCCCCGATATCAATGTTGCGAATAGAAGTCGTGAGAATTCAATTATATTTAGCACGCCTTAGTTGATATTTTAGTTGAAGGGCTGCAGTTACTATTACGATATTCCAGCATCTTGCGACCGGTTATATTTCCCAAAATTAGCATCACAAGCACATATCAGAATCATTAGCGCTGAAGTCTTTAGTCCATCCTCAAGTGTAGTCGTAGTTTTAAAAAGAGAACTGTTTTTCTTTTACCAAGTATTTTGTTTGCGTCAGGATAACTACATCAGGCTCATTCCGTCTGAGTTCAAAAATGTAGAATGTATCTTAGCTCTCAAGTAGACTCATTGTTTTTCACGTTTTCGTATCATTACCCTTACTGTTGAAATACCAGTCGCTTTTCGGTACGATTACGGTGAAGTAGTTTTTATGAACAATTTGTTGAGCTTTGATGGTTCTAGGAGGAACAGTAGTAAGGTTCAAAATTTAAACGGATCTGCGTTCTAAGCAACATGATTTCCTTATTCTTATTGCGCTTTACCTCCAAATCCACATAAGGAAGAGCCAAATCCTTTCCTTAGTTTTTGTCTCAGCCGGCATAATTCCCAACAACCCCAAACTCCTTTTGAATGTTTCACGTCGATAATGACAATTTGCAGTGCTTCGACACAACTTATGTGACAGTGATAGCGTAGTCGTCTGCCACTTATAATTTTATTATAAATTCCTATCTTTTGTTTTAATGGGAACCAAAAACAGGTAAGCAACTAAAGCTGGAGTAGTGTGATTTTTTCCTCTCAAGTATTAAAACGTGGCTAGAGCTTTTTGAATAGAAAAACATCGTTGAAGGTCTTCGTGCGAAGTAGCGACTACAATCGGACTCTAATGTCAGCACAAGCGACCATGGCAGGTAAGAGACAGTCCACGTATCAATAGTTAAAATACTTGACTTTTTGAAATCTTCCCTACCTACATTATCAAAAAGAAGTGGTTAACCCTGGTCGTGTTTCAACGTGAAAATGATTTTACGAGCGATGATGCTACAATATTGGTTGTTTATCACGTTTTAGGACTCTTTCCTCCTTCAAAATCGGAAACTTGGGATGCTGACTTACCGTGGCAACCGGTTCCCGTTCACTCTGTACCAAAAACTATGGACAAGGTTTTTCACGGTTATCTATTCATTACTATATTTCCATCCCACGTAGCCCTTATTTTTTAACAATCAATTTATTCGCTATTTGGTTAGGAAGATCAAAATCTGTTGCTTTTGAGCCTTTTTCAAAGTAGCTCTTTAGCTTTCACTGACTTTAGTTTTGTGATTTTTTAGTCGTTCTAGGAACTTTACGAAGATATCGATTGTCCAGCAGCTTCTTCTGAATTTTCAAAAGTATGGGACTCGACGGTGGTGCGCAAGATGGTCAGTGAAAACGAAGACCTAATCAAATATCTCGGCGAGAAATCTCAAATCCCAGACTTCAATCTCGACAAATTGTGGATGGTATACGATAATCTTTTCTGTATGGTTAGTTGATATTTTGAAAGATTCTCTTTGTTTTTTTCCTTCTAAATGAACCGTACTTTTTAAATACTTATCGGTTTTCAAGGCTATATGGTGAAGAAGAAACGGAAACCATTTCGATTCAGGAAGTTTAAATGCTTAAAACAGTGATCAGAACGCTGTTTTTTTATTTCAGCTCCAACATATGGAAACTCATAAATGGCCTTCGTGGATAAATGATTCTATTTTCGACAGGGTTCAGAAGCTCTATGATGGCTACTCTAGAACAAAGTATCATACGGATGTTTTGCGCCGCTTACGAGGAGGTATTGATTACTTTTATAGTCATTTACCTTCATAAAAGTCAGAATGTTCTGCAAAGTGTCGATTTCAATAATTTTTCGCGTCCAGTATGATGTTAAAAGAAAACTTTCAGCGTTGATCAATTCTTGAAGTATATGCCATGCATTTGGCTTCATTAAGCATCGTTTGGAGACGATTGAATGCACATCTGACCTTTACAATGACGCGCAGTGGCCTACTGATGTACCGAGCTAGTGCTGCTATCCTCGTAGACAAGTCTGGTACCAATTTGTCGACCCCGGAGGGGTGGAGGGCTTGGTGGGATATGGACGCGCGGACCAATTCCACGCGTGTGTTGCAGGGCGCCTCCAACCACTGCGCTATACGCGCTCATATACATTTCCAGTGTATTTACCAGAAATTGCATTGTAACTCTTCATTGTAGGACCTTTGCTGAAGGATATTCTAGATCGGTTTGTTGCGAAAGTGAATGGAGCTCTGGGAATTGGACCAAAGTTGTTCGCCTATTCAGCGGTAAGTGATTTAAGTGTCGTTAAACAAGTTTGAGGTATCATTGATCTACGTCAAGATTTAAACAATAAATGAATGATTTTAGTGGGGACGCACTTTTGAATCATGAAATTTTTTCGAGCGGTATGTAGCTTGGAATCTTTCCGTTTATACGTTGTGCTTTTTTTATGCAGCACGACACTACGCTTGCTGCAATGCTATCATCATTGGGCATATATCCAACAGTATTTCCACGGTATTCAAGTGCTGTGCTTTTGGAACTTCACAGAAAAGATGGAAAGCTTGTAGTTCAGGTACAAATTATCTCACTCGATCAGTTTTAACACTTGATTAGAGCGGCAATAAATGGTCGAGTTGATCTGATTTTAACCAAAGATGTGTGTGAAGAATTGAGAGCATGACTTTGAATTCTAGGTGTTTCATAAAAATGAAACTGATGTCGATGATCTGTATCGCTACGAAATTCCTGGCTGTGGTGATCCATGTACGCTCGATGCACTGCGATTAGCTGTGGACAGGCAACATTCTATGTTTTTTTTGTTTAAGTTTTCGGTTACATGCAAGATTTATAAAGCTTTCTTTCTCGACCTATTTATACACTTACAAGTTAAGGTTTAGATACCTTCCTACTGACTGGACAACAGAATGTGGACTTGCTGGACTGAATGTTGTGAATTATATGGGTAGGTTTATCGTTGTCACATAGTGTCAAGTTTGCCAAGACGAAAATGTATGCCAAGTTTTTCATGTGTTTGGAGTCGTCGTTTTATTCGGCGGTAGTCAATCTATATTATCACCTATAGGTCAATAACGCAGCTGAGAGAAAGGAGGGTAAAAGTGTGTTCGGTCCCCACCAGAGACCCCAGCGCTCCGCAGTTTTACAAATATCTCAACATCATTGTGTTTTCTTTCCATTTTTTTATGTTAGTCAACAAAATCAAAATATGGATTGAAGCATGATTAGTTTTCAAAACACGTATTTCTTTGTAGTTTCTACCGCAGTTCTGGCTTGTACGACTGTGTTATTTGCTGGCGTTTTGCTCTTTGACATAATGTTAAGAAAGAAGCGTCATTCCAACATTGACCACGACCTTCTAATATCTGATGAAGTGGAGCCATAGAGAAAGTTTTTATCTATAATTTTTTTTTGCTTGACTAGGCAGTTTTGTGTGGCGATTTTTTACAGATTGTTTGTTTGTCGTTTTCTTATCACTTATTCTTCATGGACGAAGCAGTTGGTATCTCATTATGGTGGAGACATATCTACTAGTTTTACTCATATCCTTATTTTGTTCGCCAAATCTTTTCACTTGGTTCACTAGCAAAGAAACTAGACTTTTTAGCAAAGTACTGATATCCTCACATTTTGTTGAGAAACGGGCAACGTACATTAGTTTCTGTGATCAATTCCTATTTCCTGTTGTTTGTATGTCATTGCGACCAAGTAATTTTTTTCTAGGGTGTTTCTAGCAATTTTTCTTCATTTATCCATGCTGACAGTGTTTTCGAAAGTGCATCCTATCACATTCCTTTTTCATCTGTGATATTTGAATAAACCAGTGATATTGATGTTTGTGAAAGGTTTATCATGCTATTACAGTTGTGCTGTTCCTTTGGTTTGGCTTTTTTTCCGGAGTTGACCTTAATGTTCTGTTATGGACTTGACGTCACCTGGGACCCACTGGTAAACGGTTCCGATCGGCCATTTTTCGTGAGGAAGAATCACTTGCCTTACACATCTGTTTTTTGATCGTACACGGCAGACTATGTTGTAGATTATAGCCTTCTGCAGGTTTTCTTGGAAGCGTAATATGGACGTCTAGTGGTAGCACTGTAGCGCTATCCCTCCAGTAGTGTTGATTTCATAATGGTGAGATGGTTTCGCTTTTGTCATGAAACATGTAGATACCGCAGGTCTACATTAGCGCAACAAGAATGCTAGGATTGAGGAAGGTGGGTAGGAGGTGGATTTCGAAGTAGCATGTTTATTCCTGGCTATATCGTTCATTATATCGACTTCTCAAGACAGATATATACTATTGGAGTACCGGCAAGTATTCATTCCGTTGAGTTTAAGTTGACATTCTTCTCAGGAAGTTTGACCAAGAAGTGTTTGCTCATCAAGCGATGTCGATACATGTTTACAGTCGCTCTGTCTTGCTAATGCTTGACGTTTCCAGAGAGTAAACAGACAGGAGGATAGTTACCGATATCGTATAGGTCTCCTTTTTCAACAATTCGCTTCTGTAGGTCACGTTAGAAAACCCGAACCCTCCGGCTGATGAGTAGTGGTAAGCTTTCGAATGTTTTGATACATTCTTTAAGAGACCATGTGTTATGTCAGCCACAACCAACGAGTTGTAATCTCGGGCATCAGAACATACCACCACATATCCAACTAGTAAGCTAATGCGAGGAGGAGAGAGTATGATTGTTGAGAAAATCAGAATGTAAGTGATGGAGAATCTTCATCTCCGCTCATGTTTGGCCGTTTTACATCGGCGCTTTCGATGACAATATCTTCCTCAAAAGCCGGTTAAAGATCTGAAGGAATCCCAGTTTCAGATGGTCTTAAGATCTCGTTTACTAAGTTTAACGGATTTCTGTTCATTCTACAAAAAAGAGCTGTCTTAGACAAAGAAGGTGATGGGATGATTTTGTCTAATACTTTGCGACAGCACCGACATTGGTTCGATAAGTTCTATGTCGTCCTCTGTCTTGATAAGGTACTCTGTATTGAAAGATTTTATCGTTGAAAAGTGAAATTGTAGGTTAGCATAAATAGTCGTGGTTATGTGGACATAATTAACTCTGAAAACTTCTCAACCCATCCGTCCCATTCTAGTCTGTAGTTTACGATTTTTACGAATTCAGATGCTCGCCAATAGAAAACTGTGGCATTGACATTGTAAACGGTGGCATCTATATAGTAGAACTTGCGCGTAGGATATTCCGATCCCGTCGTCCTCGTGATGCTGAGCGTAGGCAAGTAATATTCTTAAGGAAGACAAGAAACCCATCCCCTGAACGCACTTGTGTCTCAGGTCAGTTTTAACCACCTATCCAACACTTGAAGACGTTCAACGTTTCTTTGTGGCCAGTGTGCTGGGAGTCCCCCAGTAAATGTTCAGCTTTACCAACCAGATTTTGAAAAAATTGCTCTATCACGCTAGAATTTAAAGTTTGCGCAGCACGTAATTCTCGTCAGAGTTTTCAGGTGCGGCTTGACTGCTTGAGGTTCCTCACTGTAAGGGGTTGTCGTAGTACTTCGGAAAAGTGCTAACTTGGCGACAGGATGTATGACGTATGATCGGAAGAGGTCATTCTTCAAAACTAACGCAGTTTATCAGGTCACTGGCAGACATAGACGCTGAAACCTTAGCTTTATTTAGTTGATTTTCTGACAGTGCCTCCTCGCTGCGAAAGCTATTCAGAATGCAGGTTATTGTGAATAACTCTCAATGAGTTACCTCCTCAATGTAGCCAGTGGTAGTGTAAAAATATATAGCGGGAGGTTTGTCTATTTAGTAGGCTCTTCCACGCTGCAATGGTTAGAAAGTTTCATCTAGAATTCCAGCTAAAACTAAAGCTATGCTAGGAATCACCGTCGAACAGGTAGATTGCTTTCTGTTTATACGGCACTCTATGTATACCTAAGGACCATCAGTTAAAATATAAAACAACATAGAGAGCGAACTGTGAAGACGGAGGAAAAAACACTTTCGAATGTCGCAGACCACCGATTAGTGGATCAAATCATAAATCCACTCTTCATGATACCACCGTCCTCCTAACGCCTTATTAGTACATGGGCTTACCATGCGCTCATATGAAGAATTCTATGCATTACCTACAGCACTTAGCCATTGGTTTTTGAAATGTTACTTCATCTATCACCATCTCTCAGTTCATGTGCAGCTGTGTCCCAAAAAAAACTGTGCTTGCTATTTTTAGCGAACCAACGTCATACATAAAGAGGCAGAATGACATCAGACATGGAAAGGGCATTAATTTTTATTGGACATGGGGATAGAGAGGTATTGGTAAAACGTCTGTCTGTGGTTGTTATGTATAGCCCGCATAATTCCTTTTCAATGTCGTCCCATTCCTTTGATACAATAACTTTTGATGTAAGAGCTTATAATTTCCTCTATAAGATTTGATTCTTATTCAGTCATGTTTGGCCAATCAAAAATCTCGTACTAGTGGGTGAGGAATGCTAAAAGAGAAGGGCATCTGAATAATATTTTGAACGCTGGCCCTCAGTTATCATGTTTACCTGATGACTTTTACTTTCAGTGTATACCCCACGAAATGCTTCACGTGCTGTCTCCGCAGGCTGTTCGAAGGTCTCCGTGGTTTCGTCTAGCTTTTGCTGTACCTCAGGCTTGTTCTGCTCTGAAAAGTTATTGCTGTTTCATGAAATCTGTTTTTTATAAGATACTATGATTAGAACACGGGAAAAATTCCACACACAGTGTTAGAGAGAAGTGCTTTCATATGTTCGCCATGTGTTTATTTGTCATCGGTGATTTCTTCCATTAACTTCTATTAACTGCCGTGGTGATGTTTTAGGACAGCCATTTCCAGTTTCACCGAAGGAGAGTGCATTGGAGGCATCATTGAAGATTAAGGAATCTCCAGTCAAGATCTGTTAGGGTTCACATTCGGCATCCTTCAGTAATCTTGAAAATCACTTTATATATATATATACATTTATAGGGACGCGTGTGGTGCAGTGGTTGGAGGCGCCACTGCAACACACACGTGGAGTCGATCTCCGCGTCCATGGACCACCAAGCCTTCCATCTCTCCGGGGTCGGAAAATTGGTACCAGACTTGTCTGAGAGGTTAGCAGCACTGGCTCGATACATCCGTAGGCCACTACGAGTCATTGTAATGGCCAGATATCCATTCAATCACCTCCAACGATACTTAGTGAACTCGAATGCATGGCGCATCCCTCAGGGATTGGTCAACGCCAAAAACTTTGTCCTTTTCATCCTTTATATACATTTATATATAAGATAGTGTATACAACATTTTTATTGTGTTACACGACCCGTCATCATATCTACTGTGCAGATCCCAGCACTTCTTGCATTCGATTCGTTTTCCTCGCATCCGTTGTCCACAGAACCTTTCCAACACTTCGCTTGTTGTTTCAGCTGCTGCTAGAGCATTTCATTTTTTCTACGATTATCGTAGAATGCTGGTCGAGTCAAACTTCCTTGCGGTCTTAGAGATAGCCGGGCTAAGACGTACTGATGTGGATTGAGAGGAGAACGTTATAAGGCGTTACCGTTGTACGTAATATACGTGCAGTATATGTAATATATGCATATAACATATAATAATGGCAATAATAATAATAATAATTGTTATTATTATTATTGTTATTGCTACACCTCACACCAAAAGTTCAGCTGTAGATTTAAAACAAGCTGGACAAAAGTCTATGCTTTCCTGTTGTCCATTGAACTCTTTCGGACAATTTCCATATGACTGTTTTTCGCATGTTGCTTCAGATTTGTTTGTAAAATACATTTCTACTATCTCAGTTTATTAAGATCGTACTCCAAGGTCAACCGAGGGCTCACCTTCAGAATCGAGACCTAGCGTTGGCGGCAGCCTCCTACAGATGATATGTCCTACCCTGCAGTCATCGTCAAATAATCGAGGAGTCGCCCATGAAGACATGTTCGTATTAGCTTACTTTCTTCTCATGTAAATCCCAAAAAATGTTTTTAATTAAACTTCACTTTTAAATTGCGTCTGGCAATTTAAGATAAACTAAATGAAAATCTACGTTCATGGTAGCCATTGAATTTGCCCCACCAATTTTTAGGCGGTCCTCTTTCGCACTGTAGTTCAGATTTTCTCCCAAAATTCATTGATACTACTTGAATTCTTTTTAAAACACATTCTTATTCTGCCAATTTATTAAGGCTGTACTCCGAGAGCAACGGGGCATACATCTTCGAAGTCGAATCCATACACAGAAGTAAGCTCTTCGCAGTTGACAAGCACTGCCTTGGAGACGTTGTCGACAATTGAGGAGTCTCCCATGAAGACAAGTTGGTGTCATATTCTGCTATTCTTTTTTGGATTTAATAAAACGTATGATGGTAAGCACTACATTTACATTCCATCTGTCAGTTTAAGGCCAAGTGCTCAAAATTTCATTCGTTAAGACAGTTTATTCATTTTACATGCGTTTTTTTTTTTCGGAAAATTCGAGTTTTCTTCAGAGTTACTTTTCAATTTTTTGAGGTTATATTCCGGAAGTAACCGTTCGCAGAGCTGCAGGATCGGTACTCTGTTCTTCCGGGAACCCCAAAGTTTCGTATTCTCAAAGAACTCTTTGCTTGACTAAAGGGAGGTGAGTATTTCCAAAAAAATATTTCTCTCGTATTATTCTTGTCAGTGACCCAGGAGTTCCGAGAAGAATTCAAGAGTGTGGTGATACCAGTCTGCTTTAATGTTGATCATATGTTCATGATTCTATAATATTTAAAACTATCTCTTAACAGTAATTCCTTTAATATTAAAGGAGCCTTGATGGTGGTCAACTTTTCTCCCTTCAACATATCCGAAACAAGAAAGCAGGTAATCCAATGAGTAACTCTTAAATGCCCTATAAATGAAATTTTCCGTGCAAAATGAGCTTGTCTGATAAAACAAAGTTAAAGAAAAGACAAAAGCAAAGAACAAGAGAATTTTGCGACAAGAACTGTATCGAATCCTTTATTGATCAAAGTCAACCACATGGAAGGAGCTATGGCATTTGGAGGCATTCATTTTTTTAGGGAGAGTAGAGCATCTTAGGCGAGTCCTTTTCTTATGAACAGCGTTTTATGAGGTCCAACACAAGACCATTTCTTTTTCTTCACGAGCTCTATCGAAATCAATCAGCATTCATTCCACATCGTTAATGTTTGAAATTATGAGAACGATGTCATGTGCAAAGCGAACATGATTAAGCTTCCAACTGCCAAGTTCCGTTCTCTTGTTATTCCATTTCAGTCCTTGCGAGAGGTGCTCTTAAGTTACTGTAGACAATTTTAGTGTGATAGTATTACTTCATCGAACTCTTACCGTTTTAATAGGGGTCGTATCTTTGTGGAGTAGTTAAATTGCTACTATCTCGTGGCTTAAAAGTAGTCTTTGTGCACTGAGTTGTTTCGCCCTGGCTGCTCTTAGCCTTCATTGTTACTTCTGAATCACCTGAGTTAAACACCGTTAAGTCGATGAGAGTGCGATGACATGCTGTGCTCCAGCTATATTTATATTAAGCGGATGTGATCCATTGTACTGATTCACTCTTGAAGACCTGTTTGTTCTCTCCTTCGTCTAGTGTTCTGTCAGACTAGTTGAGAATGACTTTTGTCCGAGAGGATAGCAGCACCGGATCGATACATCCGTAGGCTACCACGAGTCACTGTAAATGCTAGATATGCATTCAGTCATTTCCAAACGATGGTTAATGAGGTCAAATGCATGGCGCATCCCTCACGGATTGATCAACGCCTGCGGCTTTATTCTTAATCCTTATATTGGTTTATTCAATACTTGCAGACCTTTTGACAGTTTCGTCCTTTCTTGTCTATTTCGAGTTGTTTTCTTTTTGAACATCACACACAGGCATGATGGATTGTTTATCTGAGCCAAGTTTACTTCTTATTCATTAGCTCTCACAGATTATTTCATTTATTTCAGCCCAAGTTACTACAACCGTAATGGTGTCAGTTCGCAATCGAACATAACAGCCTACTTCATCTTGGAGAGTAGACATCTCTCTGCTAGATCGATTTCAGATTGAATCCACTCCTGTGGATGTTGTGGGTCTCAACGCCGTGACTATGGGCAAACGAAAGAGGAACTGTGTCGACAGCGATGAAGCTTCGACTAGCTCTCAGAAATCACAGCGAACTAACAGCAGTGGTAGCAGTACAAGTGGCGAGTGGTTGTGTGCCAGTACCCGGTTGCCACAACCGAACGAAGGTATGCTGATCAGTATATCATTCTCGTGTTTCAAGTGAACTTTCAGTTCCTCCAGTACTTTGTAAGCTTGTCTATCATATCATGTTTTTATAAGCTCTGGTGATTTAACATCGCTGTAGTTTTGTTTCTCACATATTTTTATTAGTTGGTGGAATGGTCTATATGATTAACTGTTACATCATTTTATCAGCGATGGCAACTCAACATGGCTATGATTTTTCTTTTTACACGCCTAACTAGGGGTGCGTGTGGTGCAATGGTCGGAGGCACCCTGCAACACAGACGTGGAATTAATCTCCGCGCCCATGGCCCACCAAGCCTTCCCTCCCTCCGGGGTCGGAAAATTGGTACCAGACTTGTTTGGGAGGATAGCAGCGCTGGCTCGACACATCGGCACGCCACCGCGAGTCATTGTAAAGGCTATATATGCATTCAATCACCTCCAACGGTAGTTAACGAAGTCGAATGCATGGCACATCCCTCGATTGATCAACGTCGAGAGCTTTTTTTATACCTTATTAATTGACACTTTAGAACTCGTTGGCCTTGGAAGCAACGATTCCGCCGACTGTGGTCAGCGTCTTGAGCTTTGCATGACTGGCAATTCAGCTTAACTGCAGCTCATAAAAAATACTAGGAGATCGAATTACGCAACAATAGAAAGGAATAGAACGGGAAATATACAGTGTGGGTATGGGCGGATATTATAACCCTTTCAATTCGAGGTTTCTCTTGAAATGGGATGTTTATGTCTGGGTTTACTTTACCAAAAAAGGCAGAACTTCGCAATGTTTGCAGGAATTTCTTGAGTAGAATGGTGTAATACCAGATGCTTTATTATGTGTTCAATATTTTTCATGGTTAATACTTTTCTTTTTTCATAAAAATAGTTTTAAGTTTTAGTTTTACGACGTCGCAACCACTTTCCTGAGTTCCCTTGGTTTTTATATTCTTGGTTTTGTAATCATATGCGGTTTCACTTTGTCATTTGTAGGTCGGCGGCATTTTCAGTAGCTTCCAAGGGAACTCTTGTATTGGATGCTTTCTATTTATTCTATTCTACTCTAAGAACCGTTGAATCGGAGTTAGCGATTCATTTACATTCTTTCGAAAAATACTTCGTCTTTTAATGTTAACCTTTTGCTTGCCGCCTAATATAATTTTTTACGCTAGGGTATAATGTGAAATACAACGACGATGATGCTGAGATATTTAGAGACCTTGGAGCCCGAGCCAGGGTCTCGCGTAATACACACTGCATCACTGAGGTCCTTGCCTTGCATCTCTCTCAGCTAATTTTCTACCTAACGCAGCCTAACTTCGTCTCTTAGATCAGAGAGATTAAATGTTAAAGGCGAAGCGTATAGACGGACTAACCAATCAATGGCAACATTCATAAACAGAAGAATTAGAACGGAAGTGACTTTACAATGTTGTAAGCACTATCAAAGTCGAGCACCGAGTGGACAAATGCAGCTGTAGTCGCAGTTACAAATGGTTTCTAAGCAACAGAATAATATTCGCACACGTGCCATACCCGAAGCACCACCTTGGACAATGATCACAGGATAATGAAATGAATGATAAATGAGTTGAATCCTGTGCCTGTCAAATGGACGCTATCTACGCATGTTGTCTAAATTTTATCCGACGT